TGTCGGAGGAGGCACAGCAGGTGTCCCGCCTCCGTCGCGCGACAATCAATCCCAGCATTGTCGACAAACAGCTGATCAAGGGCACCATGGTCAAGGTTGCGTCGTCGACGGTGAATAACGTCGCGACGCTGCCGCGTATACTCCGATGAGGAGCGTCAGATCGCCGATTTTCTTGCGTGTTATTATATTTGTAACCGGCATTCGCTCTGCTTTTAGGATTTACATTTGGTGGGCGTTTTATCCCGCGCATTGGAGGTTCCGGATGGCTACAATTCGTTCTGATATATATATAAATATGCTCAGTGAGCCCATTTAGACTTACCTATACCATCACAACCATCGTATCGCATGAGGAGCACGTCTCGCGTGTTGAATTTTGGAAAAGTATCCGTTGACGTTGGTATATAGTTGTTGTACTCTTGCTCTAATATCACTCATATGCCGTTATCTAGTGTAAAGAACACCCGTCCTAGATGTTACATATGCTACCCCATTCCAGCATGTGCTTGCTGTTTTTACTCCTATTTATTGCCCAGCTGCATTGAATCGAAATATGTTCCTAAATGCTACCCTCGGCCATCTTTGCTTTGTAGTACCGCACCATCTCCTCCAGACCCATCCGGACGGACCACCGCGGTTGCCAATCGAGCACCTGTTTCGCGCGAGTGATGTCCGGCCTACGCTTCTGCGGGTCGTCCTTGGGTATGGGCTTGTATACGATCTGCACGCGCCGCGCTAGCGGCGTACCGTCCTCCTTTTGCACCTTCTCGACAATCTCGCGCACAAGTTCGGCAAATTCGCCGATCGTAAACTCGTCAGGGTTGCCGACGTTCACGGGGCGCGTCTCGTCTGAGTTCATGAGCGCGATGAGCCCGTCTACCAGGTCGTGAATGAACTGGAAGGAGCGCGTCTGCTTGCCGTCGCCATAGACTGTCATGTCCTCGCCGCGTAGAGCTTGGATGATAAAGTTGGAGACGACACGCCCATCGTACGGGTTCACTGTAAGAGTAAGTCAGCAAAATGGTCGACAAGGAATGGTATTCCCGAGCGTACTCCGAGGGCCTAGAAACGCATGTAAGTCAGATAAAAGTTGAGCTATGATCGGGGACATACCGTAAGTGTTGAATATACGAGCGACGCGAACGTGAACACCATTTTGATGGTGGTATCCGTATGTCAGGGTCTCAGCGACACGCTTGCCTTCATCATAGCAGGCACGGGGACCGATCGGATTGACATGGCCCCAGCTTCGCACAGATCAATATAGGATGTTGTTCGATCGAGTATACTCACTAGTCCTCCGGCTGCGGGTGAACCTCAGGGTCACCATACACCTCTGGAAACAATGAATTAACAACGTCAGATCAGCAACAGACGGATGATACGTACCAGATGTGCTGGTGATCAAGAAGCGGGCTTTCGTACGTTTTGCGAGGCCGAGCATGTTCAAAGTACCCATAAAGGATGTCTTAACTGTCTTGATCGAATTAAACTGGTAGTGGGGAGGAGACGCAGGGCAAGCAAGATGGTATATCTCTGCCAGAGTTGTCTTTCAACGCCGTCATTCTTCAAGCTGAGTTATTGACGCTTACGATCACATTCTGTCATGTATGGTTCGACGACATCATGGCGGACGAGCTCGAAGTTTGGGTGTCCAACCCAATGGCTCACGGTAGTTTTAGCACCAGTAAAGAAGTTATCCAGGACCGTGACCTCATGGCCTAGGAGCATGAGTCTGTCCACTAGATGCGAGCCCACGAAGCCAGCGCCACCCGTGACAAGGATGCGCTTGCGCTTCTCAGGGGGAAGGAGCTTGACGGGCGGGAAGCGCGCAAGTGTGGTATAGGAGATGGATTGGGTGTCAGGGTAGTAGATGGAATCGGATTGATATTCCTCTGACTGACTGCCAGGTTTGGGGCTAGCGTTGGCACTGCGGACGTAGTGGGGCTGAAGGTATAGCGAACGAACGGCGTCGAAGGGAACTTCGGAGTCGAAACCAAATCGTTCAAAACCAACGGTGGTGATTTCCTTTCCGCTCTTGTCAAGGATGCGGGACTGGAGATGGAGAGGGACATTAGTATACGTACCGTAACAGAACGCTGGTGAATTAGAGAACAAATGGTCGATACGCACCTGGGACTTGGAGGACGCCATGATGCAAGGAGTGTACTGGCGGGAGGCACGAGGGGGAGGAGAAGAGGGGGGCTTTTATGCGGACGGCCTTGCAGACCGAGAGGGGGACTCAAGCCTGGTCGACTCTACAGCGCGCTCAGCGCGGCGATCGCCGTACCAATCACGATCGCGCCTGCGAATATCTTCTGCAATCATTCACTGCACCGAGCTGTGAGCCGCATTGCAGCTGCCTTGCGCCCTGCTCTTGATCCTATCACCTATACTAGACCTATCTCTTTCATCTGTTAGTCGCCACTATCAGAAAATTTCTCACACGGCCTTCATTTCTCCTGTTCCAATTTCCGGCCAAGATGCCCAGAGCAAGCAAGACGGGCTCGAAGCAGCGACACGACCCCCTGCACGTCCAGCTCAACGAAGATGAGATAAATGCTAAGTATGGACGGATCTCTCGCCCAGGGAAGCGATCAAAGTCAAAGGGGAGAGTTGAAGACGATGAGGAAGGCGGAGAGGTAGGTCGAACGCGGCTCTGGGACGGTCTCAGAGACTGGACACGACTCACCTCAAAGTAGATCATCTTGGACCCAAAAACCTCAAGACGCATATTTGAACTTGCGCGAGATCAGCAAGAAGAGCTCGGGGCATGGGAAGACGACGACGATGAGGATGAGAAAGGGTCTGGAGACAAGCTGAGCTTTTCGGTTCCACGGATACAAGATGAGGATGAGGATGAAGACGATTTGGAGCGTTTTGATCAGGACGATTACGAAGAAGACGTGGAAGAGATCGTGAGTCCTCAAACGTTCATTGTCTTGTATGCGAACATTAATAGGAATTAGGAAGTGGATGAGAGCGATCTCAAAACCCTTGACGCGCTTTTACCTGCCAATGCTGGAGAGCGACGAACACTAGCGGACATTATTTTCTCAAAACTAGACGATATAGAGTCAGGCAAAACGACTGTCATCCGAAAAACGGCAGAAGGTGTGTTCGCGTCCATACAGTCCAACTAGTATCTTATCATGTTACGATTATAGACCCAGACAAGGCACCCGATCCTGCAGCGGGACTTAATCCAAAAGTAGTTGAGCTTTACACAAAGTGAATGCTTCCACTCCACTGCGCGAGACTGGGACTGAGAGTATATCTATTACAGAGTCGGCCTCGTGCTCTCCCGATACAAGTCCGGCCCGCTTCCAAAACCGTTCAAAATTATCCCCTCCCTCCCCGCTTGGGCGCGCATGCTCGCGCTCACGGGGCCAGAAAACTGGACGCCACAGGCATGTCATGCCGCGACGCGCATATTCGTATCGCAGATGAAGCCACCGCAAGCACGCGTATTCCTTGAGGGCGTGCTCCTTGATGCGGTCAGGGAGGACATCCGACTGACACGCGAAGGCGCGCGGAAGAACAAGAATCATCGCAAGCTGAATGTCCACTACTACGAGAGCATGCGGCGGGCGTTGTACAAGCCTGCTGCGTTCTTCAAGGGAATCGTGTTCCCACTATTGACTGTGAGCCCTTCGTTTATCGATCCTAATGCATGTATTGATTTTTTTTCAGACCGGGTGTACACTGCAAGAAGCAGCAATTGTCGCTTCCGTGTTGGTGAAAGTCAAAGTACCGATTATGCACTCCGCGGCAGCTCTCATGCGGCTCGCAAACATGGAGTACTCAGGTGTGAAGTATTATTTTATGTCATGTTTATTTGTGTCCAATCGCCTGTGCTTGCTAGGACCTAACTCGCTTTTCATCCGAATACTCCTGGACAAAAAATACGCACTTCCATACAAGGTTGTCGACGCACTTGTCTTCCACTTTATTCGCCTATCGAACACATACAAAGCGCGACAATCTGGCGACGCTGCAAAGCTGCCTGTATTGTGGCATCAAAGTCTGCTCGTGTTCTGTCAGAGGTATCCTTCCTATGTTCTTACTGCAATCTCGACGGGCTCACGCGTCTTCGGTAGATACGGGGCGGACTTGACTCCAGACCAAAAGGACGCATTATTAGATGTCGTACGCGCAAATCCCCATCCTCAGATCGGTGCTGAAGTTAGGAGAGAACTCGTTAACTCTGTCGCGCGGGGGGAACCCCGGCCTGACGGAGATGGTGATATAGCTATGAGCTGAAAACCTCTTACTAAATCACACATCGACTTGTGTAGATCTTTCGGCGGGCATAGTCTGGCGAGGATTATAGACATCTAGCGGCATACAGCAACACTTCGACTGCATATTCTGTAAACATGACCACGATGTACCCGCTGGGGGATATGCTCTGACTGCCTTCCGGCTTACCGCAGTCCATGAAAGAATCGCATTAACGTCATGGCAGCGTCAACAACGCCTTGCAGCGAGAGCTCACATCCTGGCGAATAGGAATTTTGAGCCTCGGCAAGGGGCTACACCAAACGAGTATTGTCATATTCTCCGAGCCGAAATGTCATCAATGGAATAGTGCATACAGTATGGTACTTTTGGGCGCAGAGTAGATGAGCCATAAACTCGCCATAATCAACCTCTTCGTTTCTTCTTTTTCCGCTCTCCGTCATCCTTGGGTGCGGCGCGGATGGCACCCATGATATTTTTGAGATCCTGATCTGCAGAGTCCTCCAGAGTGTGTTTCCTCTTCTTGCTTTCGCCATGTCCTGCATACCCCACGCTGTCTGTCTCGTCTGTCTTGTTCTTTACAGTTGCAGTCGTAACTAGGCTCTTTCTGGTCTTATTCCCAAGCGTCGTATCAAATAATTCATCAATCTCGTCTTTGGAACGCGCCTTGCGGTTTCGCTTCTCCCGCTTGTCTGCGTTTGCACTGCGCTCTTCCGTAATGGAGACCGCTGATACTTCCGGAGCTACTGATGCTATGGATGTTGGAGGTAGCACGCGCGTCTTTTGTTGGGATGTCTGAGAGGACGTCTGCTTGGTGGCAGATTGCAAATCCTTCCATTGTTCGGGGTTACGTTGAAGCAAGTGCAGGCTCAAGCTCCGAACGAAGAACTTCCCAAAGAAGGATCCAGCCAAGTGATGTTCGTGAGGTATGATAGAGCGAGCTATCTTCTCCTGAGGACATCCGTCTTACAATCAATGTATGGATTTCATAATCGAAACAATGTATACGCACTTTCAGGTATGGATCGGCAAACGCCCAAAGGCGCGCACCGATTCGGCTACCTATGCGGTCGTCTACCAAGGTCGGGAAGTGTCCCATGAACGTCAACACAAAACTGCGTTTAGCTTTGGTGGGCACTGTGGGCGAATCTAGTAGTACGTCAAGTACACGGGAACTTGTGACGTGATGTGCCATCTCAATCAACTGGTCAATCCTGAGGGCTTGGATGCTGGGACGTTGGCGTGAGCGATCGTTAGGGTCTAGTAGGGAACAGCAACGCTGAGTGGACTGACCTGTCCACCACGATCTGGTTATGCGGTGCGGAGAGACGCAACAACGATTGTAACAGCACCGCACCCTGTGTTTTGGGCTCCAACGAATCCTGATTGGCGTCAATCTTCCCTCTTTGCCAACGACTTTGAGTCTCAGCCTCAGGCTTAGTTGCTTGTCCAGCTTTTGCCGCCGCCGCTTGATAGTCCTAAAATGAATGCTCAGTCAGTGCCTAGGCTCGCAGCCAGACAACGTACTCTAGAACCCTTGAGGTACAAGATACAAGGGACCACGAGCCTTCTTTCTTCCTGTTCTTTGAGCTCGAGAGCCGCACAGATAACCTGGCAGCCAGTCGAAGTCAGAATGATTACAGACGAAAACAATTCAGCTTGACGCACTTCCACGACCTCTTCTTCGTGAGTCTTTAGTCCTGCAGCCCTATCCACCAGTGCTCGAAGTACACCCGTCCGGGAAGCTTCTATATGTCGAAATTGGAGATAGACTTTCATGGCATATGCCGACAGGTAAGAGCCGACTCACTGATGATTTTCTCGGCCACGCCTTCGAGTTCATGACAGATCTCGCCCAGCTGTTCTACAGTAGCCCGTTCTATTGCTCTCGCCACGACGAAATTCGCCACCGGATGAACTGCTAGTCTTGAGAGTTTACCTGAGAAGTAAGTAGGCCAAAGGATATTGAAGACTTTGTCCGGTGATCGCCGCACAAGTGTCTCTAAGAGATGAGAGGAGGTAGGATCGCGCAGGAGGGTAGTCAAATAGTCAGAAGCCTCCGGAGAGGCGGACGGGTCCTCATCTGCAAACGAATTAAGAATGATGGCTTTTGTAAGATAAGTCGGACATGAGCATACGCGTTAATGTGATGAGCCCAACGAGTGTCCTATCCATGAGCGAACCCGGTATGTCGGACATGCCACATCCTGATTCGACTTCCAAGAACATCTGTAAATGGCCTCATCACTTGTCAACATACATCTAACGCCATCATGACGCACCTGCAAAACAGGGCTTGCGACCTTGTCGGCAGCTAACGCTCGTACTTCGTTCTCATCAAGATTTTCACGCAGGGCCACAACAAATTTCTTAGCAACGTCACGAAATTCCTCAGGTGCATCTTTCACAGGTTCGTGACTTGTTTGTCCTTCATGCTCAGAGAACACTGACTTCATTGAACCTTGCTTGGCCTTGTAAGCTACACTCCGTTTGGAGCGCACAGAAGAACCGCTGTGTCCTGGACCGTCCATCGAGGGGAAACAATCGGGTACCAGGAGAAGGAGAAGTGCGCGAATTACATGAGATGCAAATGGGTCCACGATGAGAGACGAAAGCGTCGGAAGTAATTCCTAGACTTCCACGTTGACAACAGCAAAGGCTGCAAGTGAATCAAATCGCACCTCGCATGCATCCAAAACAAGTTGCATCAATGTTCTTAATTCGCCTTCATCTGACGTCTCTGCCGCGGTAGGAAAAATTCCGCGAGTCTATAGATTTCGAGGTCAGAAAGTTAAAACCAGAACGAGATGGTTGGAGCAGACCTCCCGTGATATGGTCTCACTAGCAACACCGAACAACGTCTGGCATACATGAGAAGCGAACCTATGTTTCGACAACTGCTCAAATCTGCGCGCTGTATTCAGTGAGATGCACGCCTATGCTAAATTGGACCCGCAAACCTACGATCCGCTAAGTCTATCCATAAAAACACGTCGGATAAAATCGTCCATAGAGTATGACATTCGCTCTACAATCGACGAGCAATCGGGGTCCGTGGCAAGCTGTTTCTCCTTGCCCGACATTTCGGTGAGGGCAGCAACGAAGAATAGACGACGATCTACAAATGTAAAATGAAATACGTAGTCAGGAAAAACTAGCAGGAAACAAGAAGTATGTATACTCACCCTCGTTTGGATCAGTATCTCCGTCTCCCTCGGTCCCCGCCATCCCCTGTTCCTGCCAGTCTCGGATTTGCAAATCTACCGTGCGGAAATATGCCTTGACCTCTGCATCGACATATCCAAACGGTGCCTCTGGATTGAAGTCCGAGCGGTCATCAACTGAGACCATCCATGAAACCCCCGCATGAGGCTCGAGATCCTGTCCAGCCTGTTCATGCTCGTGGTGTTCGGCATTTTGCTCCTCCTCAGGCTTCTTCCTATGCTTTTTTCCTCTTTTCCGATTTTCTCTCGGCATCTGTTTTTTTAAGAGAACGTGATATCCAGAAGCACGGGTGGAGGCAAGCTGAACCAAATAGTAGACACCGAAGTCAGCACCAAGTCGATTGGAAACAAAGCGGAAGCTGTATGATCGGTGGTTTTCCCATTTTGGTAGCTCTCACTGACTTCCCGAGAACCGTGACAGTCATGCCGCCGCGCTCTTGTGCGCTCTGTAACAAGGCCCGTGCTATTCTGAAACGACCAAAGACAGGACAGCAAATATGCAGAGAGTGCTTTTTCTGGGTATTCGAAACAGAAGTTCATAATACAATCACTGAGGCGGCCCTATTCAAACCTGGCGATAAAGTAGCAATTGGTGCGTCCGGCGGGAAAGGTTAGTGCACACAGATTACCATCTTAACCTCCAATGGTGCTTTTCTGAGACATTCCTATAGACTCTACTGTACTTGCCTATGTAATGAAAACACTTAATGATCGATACAACTATGGGTTGGAGTTGTTTCTCCTTTCTATCGATGAGGGGATCACTGGCTACCGCGATGACTCTCTAGAGGTGCACCGTTGTAGTTATAACGATGTCGCCTTCCATGCTAAAGTCACAGGCACACTCTAGACAGTAAAACGTAATCAGCAACAATACGACATGCCACTCAAGATTCTATCGTACGATGAGCTCTACGGGTGGACCATGGACGCGATCGTATCTCAAATAGGCAAGAAGAATAACTGCACGTTCTGTGGGGTGTTTCGCCGCCAGGCATTGGACCGAGGCGCATCTGCACTACATGTAGACCACATTGTTACGGGCCACAATGCCGACGACATTGCAGAGACTGTCCTTATGAACAGTGCGTGACGACCATATAACTGTCACTCGTTTGGAATACCCTTACGATCCAATTCAGTTATGCGGGGTGATATCGCACGGCTTGGTCGTTGTACCTTGATTTGTACACAAGGCGAAGATACAATCAAGCGATCAAAACCATTTAAGTACGCGTATGAGAAGGAGATTGTCATGTAAATCGTTTCTCATAACGTTGGTGATGTCTAATGATGAGAATATTATCCTCTTGAATAGGTACGCATACTTCAAGAAGCTCGATTACTTTTCGACGGAATGTATATACTCTCCCGATGCATATCGTGGACACGCTCGAGCATTCCTTAAGGACCTCGAAGCTGCAAGGCCAAGTGCAATCATCGATATTATCCATTCCGGGGAGGCTTTCGAGGTTACAGAAGTGATCAAAGCTACACAGAAAGTGCAGCGTGAGTTAATCATTCTGTTGACGTCTAACACCCTCCTTCACGCACTATATCAGAGACGTGCAAGCGATGCGGCTATATGTCTAGCAATTACCTCTGCAAAGCGTGTACTCTTCTGGAGGGTCTCGAGAGGGGAGGAGCTAGTCCTTCGGTTGTAGGTTTACTTGTTACCACTGCGTCTGAGCTGCCCTTTAATGGTCTGAGTCTACAGACCAATCGTATGCAAGGGAAATTGGACGCTGTACTTATCTCTGCCGACAATATGCGTACGATTCCCTTGTTCCAGACACCATCAACGCTGCGACCTCCAATGTCAACATTTAAGGAGCAACTGTCGTCCTCAACGCAGAGTCAGGTGATCATAGATCCTATCCACCTCTCAACACTTGCATAAGCATACAGTTCTCTATTCCCACCGCTGTAGCAACTAGACGATCCCTTGTTTTCTATCCGTCGGCTGCGCGAGATTTTGGCTGGGTAGAATTATGTAATCCCGAGTTTCGACGAACTCAAAATCTAACCTGGTCATAATGATAAACATTGTACTGATCTTCGGTCTTCATCTCCTCATCCAACTTGCAAAAGAAGTCGATGTCATACGAACCTGTGGGACTGAAAATTCCGGTGTGTGGTGATATAGACCAGGCGTAATCATAGCCTCATTACAACAGCTACCACTCACGATGATTAGGCTCGTTCAATTAAACAAGATGACATGATCAAAGTTATTGTTCGAAAAAGTGCATCACTGCCGTGCTGTATGTAGGAATTGCATTTGATCGGGCAGGTCACAGGACACTTGAACAAGTTCCTGCAGTTGCGATTTGAGGCAACAGGACTCGATGCTCCTCGTGCACTTGACTTGGGCAAGACACGAGGCCAACTGATGGGATCCCATAAAGTGCTCTCATGCTGCGAGTAGATTTCTTACAGACATCACAGGTGAGGTGTATCTCGAATATGTCCCGTATGAAATAGTTAATCAAGATGTGGCCGACTACACGCCGTATCATGGACATCGTGAAACAAATGAGACGATGAGTCTGTACCTTTGTATGTCATATATGCTGGTAATCATTCACCTAGGTTACGAGCAGAGCACGACCAGCTGACGGCTGGCTTCAGGAAGGCATCTGGAGCATCGGGTCATAACAAAGTGTGAGCACAACTGCTGCAAATCGCGGAGGGGTTGTAGCTACAGCTTGAGATGTTGTATCAGAACAAAACGGTAGGTACATTGAATTTGATCTATGTCACGGGCTGATGTGACCTCTACAATCAACATCTGCCGCCATTTGACTCGAAGATCCTGTATATGAGGGGCTGTACAACGACTTCTATGCAGGCAGTGAAAACGGGCCAATGGCAGATGCCGAGTTCAATTATCCGAATGCAAAGTTTCGTTGAAGCCCAAAAGCGTACCGGGAGAGTAATTGCGTCTTCAAATTGAATTCCGTCGGGTCTTGTAGCAAACCCGACTGTCTTTAAAAGGATATCCAGTCTGGGTGGAATGAGTCGGCCACAGCATATATCCGCGAGATTGCAAGAAGCTTTTTTTGCGCTGCCTATCGCTGACGCTCACTGAGGGGCATATATTGAACTTCCTCATCCGTGATGCTCTGCCATAGCGTAGAAAGGTACTATGAGTTGCACGCGCTTTATCACGGATTTCGGTATTTGGCCTGTTATTAAATCAGTACTCTATAAGAGCACATAATAATTACATGGGAAGGTGCGTCTACGTCTCCTCTATCTTTCCAGCTACTCAGAAAAACATTACATGTCTTACATCCTCCTGCGGATGTCTTCCGGTGAGACGAGTACGAAAAGTTCGAGTGTTTATATCTCTGGTCACAATATGTCACATCGGCGTCATTCGGCAGCCCTGCAAGCCAAACACACCCAAAGGCTGAGAAGTGCCACCGTTGAATTACGTAGCCACCATGTGCCGAGAGATGCCGCGCGCGGCGTCCGAATTTTGTCACCATCCATCCTGACTATGTAACGCCAAATATTGTAGACAGCATAGATGATGTTT